CACGGACCCAAAAGGAAAAAAACTCTCCAAAAAAAAAAAAAAAAAAAAGAAGACCACCTGCAAGCCTGGGAAAGAAGGGACTCATTGCCAATTCATTCTTGCCCTAAGGCTGCCTCTAGGGGTGTCAGTGTAAAGTGAAAGGGTGTTCCCATTCTCCGTGGGCTCAAGGCTTTGACTCTCACCCCTCGAGAGCAGGGCTCCACAACCTTAGCACTACTGAAATCTTTGGCTAGAAATTCGTGTTGTGGAGGCTGTCCGAGACACTGCCAGGTATTAACAGCCTCCTATACCTCCTCCCCACTGTAACACAAAAGCACCCCGATTCTAACTACTGATTTAGCTTCAAGGTCACCAAAAACACAGCTTGTTTTGCAGCAGTTTCTTTGGAACTGGCGAATGCTCAAGACACAGTTGCTATAATTAGGTAGGGCCTTCTTTTTCCTTGTTACCTTGTTAAGATTTTTTTTTCTTAGTGCTGCATATACCTTTTAAAGTTGTTTTCAGAGGAAGGGTTGGTCTGCACACAGTGTCAAATGTGATGGTCTCCGGTCACATGTGGTGACAAAGAATTTAAACTGTAGCTAGTTCAAACTAAGGTGTGCTCTAAGAGTAAAATGCACACCAAATTTTGAGAAATCACTTCCCGGGGGGGTGGCTACGCCGCAATCCCTTCTCCTCCATTCTTCTCTCAGGATCTTGGGCACGCACGCACACGCGCCCGACCTGAGTTTAAGCCACCGGGTCCGGGACTCGAACCACAGTCAACTCCATGGGCGTCCAGCAACGTAGCCATTACGCCATCTGCTGGTCCCAAAATAAAATATTTTTTAAAAGAAAATTTAGATTCGTGAATGTGACTTGTGCTTTGATTAGGTAGCACGAGCTAAATCATCTCATCTAACAGATCTAAATGATCTAATCTATCATAACTGGGAGGAGAAGCTCACGCTGCACATTTCTTAAGGACAAGGGACAGATCTTTTCTATTTGCTGCTACTATTCAGGGCATATGCTCAATAAATGCCAACCCCACCTAGAATGGCTTAGCTTTAAACAGACATGAAAACAGAAGTAATAAGAAGGCAGAAAGGGGCCAGCAGGTGGCGTGGTGGTTAAGAGCAACGGACTCCCAACATGGACAACAACGGTTCAAGTCCTGGACCTGGTGGCTTGCTTTCTCACTCCTTCTTTCTCTGTGTCTCTGATCAAACTGGAAAATAACAATAAATTAAGTTAAACAGAATAATTCTTTTTAAAAAAAAGGCAGAAGTTGAGCCAGCTAGTGGCATGGAGGTTCAGGCTCTGGATGCCACGTGGCCAACCATGGTTTGAGTCCCGAAACTGATGGCTTGAAATTCACACAGGGAGGGACCAGCAGTTAGCGTAATGGCTGTGTCACTGGACTCCCATGTAGTCGACCGCGGTTCGCGTCCCGGACCCAGTGGCTTAAAACTCACGCCAGGTGCATGTGTGTGCATGCCTAAGATCCCAAGAGGAGAATGGAGGAGAAGGGATTGCGGCGTGGCCATTCCCCCTGGGGGCGACTTCTTGCTTTCTGTCTCTCTGTCTCTCTCTGTCTTTCTGGTAAATGCACGCACCCTATAGCAAAAACCTCTCAAAAAAAAA